GGGGGGGGGGGGGGGGGGGGGGGGGGGGGGGGGGGGGGGGGGGGGGGGGGGGGGGGGGGGGGTACGTTGCTGGATCGCTCTGCGCCTTTGCTACTGTATACAATATTATACAAGTTTTCTTTTGGCATATGCATGCTGTACTGCTGTACGGGCTGCTATTTCGGTGGGTGCCCTCGGCCTCGTAAACACCACTGCTCGTTTTTTTTTATTCCACAGGAGGTGTCTCCGATGGTGGTGCCAGGAGCACAGCAGCACCGGGCAAAGAGGAGGCGGACTTGCCGAACGACCTTCTTGTCGGCAGTCGGGGTTGCCGTTGCCGTGCTCTGCCGACAGCCGGCGGTGGCGGCAGCAGGGGCGGTAGCGACGGCGGAGCCGAAGGAAGATGTCGTCCGGGCGGCAGCAACGCTGGCAGCATTCCAGGAGGTGAACCACGCTCTGTCGTCTTGATATTGTTTGTGTTAAGATACAAAAATACAGTAGTCGGGGTTGGTGAAGAGAGGGACCGGTATGCGGTAGTGGGGGTGAAAGTGGCTGGGACAGATGGAATGGTCAAGGCGGTTGCAATTAGTGCGGGTGAAAGCGCTTGGCACGTACCTGCATTCTAGAGGGCCTCCTACGGTACGAGAGCTGTGAGAGAAAGATGTCAGGGGCTCTGCAGCTTGAACCCGTCAACCCCTAACTACCCCCGGCCTGTGTACGGGCAACGGGAAGAACGCCACACTTATGTATGCATACACAAGAGCTACGAAAATGTGAGGCAACGGAAGCCCAGATCCCACACGGTTTCCCTCCACTCACTGAAAAGGCTTCAGCACATCCCTTTCGACTGTGGTTATATCTCCAACGGGTAGCCTTTCTGCTCTGTTATGTATGTTTTCTGAACAAGGAAGGGCATGCCGTGTTGGAATCTCAAGGCGTATTAGCAATATTCTTGGAAGTGCGGTCTATATGGCGTGTCCGCTATGTTGTCCGAACACGGGAGTCCGCTTGCAAGGGACGAGGCCTCCGCCATCCTTGCTACCGTGTATGACACAAGATAACACACCCTCTTGACCAATTTTCGAAGCTCGATTTCTTCACTGCAGGAACAGTCACAGCGCCGCAAACGGCGGCGTTGAAACCGTCTCGTCGAGAGCTTTTCGAAAATGTATCGTTTCGTTTATGCATCCTCTTCGTCGTGGAGTAATCGAGCTTCAAAAATCGGTCTAGGGGGTGTGTCATCTTGTGTCATATACGGTAACCATCCCCCCCGCACGCTTGTCTTCTCGAAGAGGCAAGCGGGAGTAGAGGAACGGACGAGCCCCGGCGCCATCAACAAAAAGCTACGGCTGCGAGAAACGCAAAAAACGACCTCCACCCCCGTGCGCCGCGTGTCAACTACCGTGGAGCACCTCGTCGCGGGAACTGTAGGGGGGGTTAGCGGTGCGCTGGTGTCTTACCCTCTCGACACGGTCAGAGTAAGGTGAGCTGGCCTATCGTCCGACAGCCGCTTCCCCGGTAGCAGCAGCGGCTGTCCAAACAGCAGAAGCAGCACATGCAATGCGCTCAGGAGCACTCGGATTCGGCTCTTGTCGACTTATTCTCGTGCTGGTGTTTAAAGTGGTCTTGTCCCGGCGTTATCAGAACATGGTTTGCACTGCTTCGGCAGAAGCAGCGAGCACGAGAGATGTTGTGTAGACACCCTGACCAGCCCTGACTAAAGCACGAAATCATTGACGCCTTACGATGCTATGCAACAACCTTGTTTCCTCTCTCGACAGCCAGAGCTACACCGTGTTGTGGTGATCCATAAAAAGAAGCTCCGCAACTTTTTTGCCGCTGCAGCTCCCCCACCCTTGCCCCACTTCAGCAGCCGCTGGAACACCTTCTTGCCTTCGCCCGAATCGAAAACTATAGGGTTGTTGAATCCACGTCCATGGGAGGCGTCCCCCTCAGTTGCACCAGCACGGAAGGCACTGAGCAGAGACCGGAACGGTTTTTTAACGTAACGACACCAACAACACGAATATCGCAATGCAAGTAATGCAAGCGCACCCCTGCGTACCCCCTCTCCGTCGCGAAAGGATGCAAACGTGCGGGAAAAGCTTGGGCGTGGCGCGAACGGCGTCCATGCTCTTCCAGGAGGCGGGCGTGGCGGGGTTCTACCGGGGGGTCTTGTCGCCGATGGTTGGGACGGGTATCATCAAGGCGGCCGTGTTTGGCGGGTACGGGTTGTGCCAGGCGTTGGTCCGGAGAGGCACGGGGAAAGGTGGGAGAGATCAGAGGGGGGTGGCCTTGGTCGTTTCATTTCTTGGGCCACGATTTGGCAAAGGATAGAGCTCGCTTCAGCGTTATGATGATGATGATGATGGTGGTGGTGATGGTGATGCAAAATATCTATCCCTTTCTGGAAGATTAAAGGCGAGACCCGGTTTCTACATCTCTAGATCTCAAGAGCTTGCGCAATGCCAACGTTGCGGTTCTGAACATGAACCACAGGTTCTACAGGCGAACCTCTTTCAACAACCCAGCCAACCGCGGGGGCACATTCGGAGGCAATAAATAGTGAGATGCCTTTCGGAGGAACGGCATGGCATTCGAGGGAGGGGACTACATCCACTTTTCGTCATCTTGCAGCTGCTCGATTTTCCGGCAACGTCAACACTAACAAGTCGAACGAAGAGACTTCATCTTGTTCCGATAAATGACACCTGTCCAGGGTTCAGTCAATGACTGGGTTCCAAAGGTTCCCGGCGGCGGCACTCCCCGTGCCCCGCAAGCTGCTGTCTGAGGCGGGACGTGGTCTCGAGCATGCAGAACCGGCTCATGTGCTTGCTTGCACGATGCCGGTTGGGAGCGGTGTCGGCGGGTTGGTGAATCGGTGCTACACGGGCGGGCGGCATTCGTCGTTGCCTAGTTAGCCTCCGCGGGGAACCATCGTGTAACCTCTTGGTAGTCACACACCCCAACCTCAAAATCACTAACAAGTCTCTTTCTTCCAGGACCACTGAGATAAGTAGCCGCTCTCTTCTTTTTTTTGTTTTCCGGCCACGGTTGAGTTCAGGGCTCCGTGAAAGGACACCGCCTCCCGCAACTTCCCGAAACTTTTTGGTTCCACCGAAAAATTTGTTTGTCTTCAACGTGTGCTCATTCTGATTTTCCCACTTGCTTGCTGCCTCATTCTCTTCGGTCAATTTCTGTGCCTCGCCGCCGATGAAGGCTGCGGAATGAACAAGGACATGCGGAGTGGCATGAATGCCTCGGGAAATGTGGGGCAATAAAACAAAAAACAACAAAATGCAAAAAAACTCCAGTGTGACTTTTCTGTTGTGTGACCCCGGCTGATACGTCAGGTGTATACGTTGAAAGGCCTGTAAACCAGCGCCACAATACATGCGACGAACACACGCACACTATGGACAGCGACAATGTTGGCTTTAAGGATAGGCTTCTTGACTGAGCAACTGCTCTCACGGCCAAGTTATAATGTTTTGTGTTTTGTTCGGGTCAAGTTAAGGCATCTGCGTCAGGTGGACTGGTGCGGATATTGGAATGCACTAAGCGGAGACCGTAACGCTTTTATTGTCAAGACAACAACAATAGCAGCAGCAGCAACAGAAAGTTCTTAAGTACTACTGGTAAGGTCTTAAGTGGCGGCACGCTCTGTATCCCGTTGCTCCCCCCCTGCACAGACAACGAAGAGCTAAACCTTGTGGACCTCGGGGTTGCCGCCATGGGCTCCGGGCTTGTTGGGTCCTTTGTGGTGACTCCGGTGGAGCGCATCAAAGTGAGTGTGCCCTGTGGGCATGAGGCGTGCCCGTACCGAAAAACCTTTGGTGTTGCTTTGCAGAGCCATCGAAGCACACTCTCCTCCCTGTCGGCAAGAAACAACAAGCATCGCCCTTGCCTGCGCAGCCCTCATTGTTGTTTGTTGCCTTCTTTCATGGGACACGGGGTTCCGTGGAATGAACGCTGTGCTCATTCGCGGTAGGGACCACCCTCCCCCAGTTCTTGCTAGCCTGGTCCGGTGAAAACCCGGCGTGCTCCGTCCCGGCGTTGTAGGGATGCGAAGTAATTTAGTCTAACGACTCTGGAATGCACAGCCAATATATGAGTACACCCCCACCAATGCCTTCAAACGTCCCGCCTTTGACCTGGCGACTTGATGGCTTCCGCCGTTGACCCCCTCACCCCCGTTGACAGGTGGTGATGCAGGCGGCGCTGTCATCGGCCCCTTCTTCTTCGTCTCCTTTAGCTGCAAGAGCGGGAGGGGGGTACGCGAATGCTTGGGGTTGCGCAAGGGGCCTCGTGGCTGAGCGCGGCTTGCGGAGGGGGCTGTACGCGGGGCTGGGCCCGACGCTTCTTCGAGAGGTGCCGGGGTGAGTGGGGGGTGACACAGAACAGGAACTTTGTTTGTTGGTTGTTGTTGTTGTCGTCTGTGCATTGAAAAACCGTTCCGGTCTCCACCTAGTATTGATATCTTCTATTTTCCGTACTAGTCCGACTGACGCGGACGCTTTCCTTGGTGACTGCCCAACTACCCGAAACCAAAGGGGAACCCTTTCTAGAAATCAAAGGACGACAGCGCTAGCAAGTACGTGTTGTGCACCAGCAAACTCGTGTTGTTGTCGTTGTCGTTTTTGTTGGCGTCGGGGGTGACGACGTTCTCAGGTGTCGTGCCTGCGCAAGGCAGGCCTCCTTTCATTTTTCGCCAAGGCCGCATATGCAGCTTTACCACAGACGTCGGAATAGAATAGAAGCACGCACTTCTTCGTCCATTTGTGGCGAGGAGGATACCAATCTCGATGCACGCGAGACAGCTAGTGCTGGGTATGTTGTCGGAATGGCGGTACTCTCTCATTATGCCTGAAGCGGCTGCTGTCTATGTTGTGCGATGGGGTACCGGGAGCTTACACAATTCGATTGGGTCCTTTTCGCTTGAAAGGCGAGCGCCAGGGTAGGCGAGGACAGGAACTCTGTATAGCATGCTTCTTACCTTCCATCTCGGACATTCCTTGCGCCTGAAATTATTCTATAAGGTCGTCTGCCTCGTTTTTCTTTGATTCACGGGGTTCTCTGTCGCACGTTAAGAGGTCAAAGAGGATCGTCGATACTTTTGAACCCGCCGCCGCCGCCGCCAGCAGCAGCAGCTGCAGTAGCAACAAATCCGAACACCACTGTGTGATTGGCAGAGCTGACAGAGGTGCAGCTGCCGCTGGGGGCACTGGCCGAAGATTCAGACCAACTGAAATAGAGCAAGAAACTTTCTTGCCGTCATTTCTTCGGGTTATTTTTTTCGTTTGCGCTGCAGCTACGCATTCTACTTTGCAACCTACGAGGCATGCAAACGGGTCCTGCTTGGTAAGGGGTCAGGGGAAGACTCCTCCCGCGGGCCCGTGCTGTTGAAGACGGCCGTGTCTGGGGCTTTGGCCGGGATCGCTGCCTGGCTGCCGATCTACCCCGGTGAGTTGCTGCTGGTGGTTCCGCCGGTGCCGGTGTTGCACGGCTGCTGCTGGTTTTGCTGTTGTCGTTGGACGTTGTCTGGATGTTGGCTTCCTTCAGATGAAAGAACCGTTCTGATCTGTACCAACGACTTACGCTGCTGCTGCTGCTGCAGCTGACTGCTGCTGTGCTGCACTGCTGCCGTCATCGGACGTTGTTGGGGTGTTGCTGTCTTCAGATGAACATACACGCTCTGCTCTCTATCTCTATCGACTACCCAACGGCCGATCAGATTACCGCCACTTGTCCCCACTCACCACCTCCTTTCCGACCGTCTCCTACCTTTCCTGAAAACCCTCTCGCCGCGGCCCACTACCCCTCAAACGCTCATTTCCGCCCCCTGGTCCTGTGGGGACAATGCTCCGTCCCCTCGGGGACCGCGTGGACCAGTGGTCCAACAACTGCGGCATGCGTTCACATTAGTCCCTGGCCTTTGGTAGACTCCGTCCTCTCGAGGACGCATGGTCAATGGTCTAACCGCCGAGGCATGCAAAACGTAAGAGTTCACCCCCCCCCCCCCCCCCCCCCCCCCCCCCCCCCCCCCCCCCCCCCCCCCC